AAAAAAAAAAAAAAAAAAATCCTTTGCATGATGTAATAAATTATACCCCTTTAGAGCTTCTATTCCATTTTATTACAACTCTCACAGCATTCATCATCCCCAGAAGGGAACCTACAGGAAGGCTGTGGAGGGACTTTTTGCAAGAGTGTCCACTGATAGGACAAGGGGAAATGGGTTTAAATTGAAGGAGAACAGATTGAGATTAGATCTTAGGAAGAAATTCTTCAGTACGAGGGTGGTAAGACTTTGGAATAAATTGCCCAGAGAAGTTGTGGATGCCCCCTCCCTGGAGGTGTTCAAGACCAGGTTGGACGGAGCCTTGGGTAGCCTGATCTAGTTGAGAGGCATCCCTGCCCATGACAGGGAGGTTGGATTAGATGATCTCTAAGGTCCCTTCCAGCCTATGCCATTCTATGATTCTATGATTCAAAATCAAAATACAGTGACTCATCTTTTCATCTTAGTATTTTGCCTTCTCTGTTCCATCCCTTTCCTTCCTGCACAAGCAGCATACAGGCTGACTGTAATGTGGAATAATCTTTCAAACTGAATGCAAGTGAAGCAAGTTCTTTTGGATTGTATCTTTTCTTTGGTGCTTTGATAACATGATACAACTCGGTCACAAAGAGGAACTAATGCTGAAAGCCAAGCTCTTCTTCTAGATTTCAGGGTGAGGGGAAAGATTATGCACACTAATTTGTGTCAGGATATTCACAAAGATTAGCTATGTTTTGTTAATACTGGCTTTCCCCAAACGCCCTTTCTCAAACCGCAATTAGGAATCAGTAACCTAGCATTCTTATAGAGCTGCTTCTCTCATTTCCCCCATCAGTTATGCAGGAAGTCCTGTCTGAATTGTTAGATAATGCTTAAATTTAGTGAATTCTCTTCCCCTGAATGACTATCCACCAGACAGATCATAGTTGTGGTACTGGATGTGAATGGAAGCCTCAACTGGACAAATACGTATTGACATGATAGGAACATTCTGCTATCAAACTTCTTGATATCAAGACAAATATGCATGAACTCATTTAATTTACTTTGATGAGGAAAAGCTAACTACAGTAGTCAAATTCCAAGAGAGGATAGAAGGAAAGCAGTTTTAACTATGGATTGGCTTACCTCTCCATACCTTCAGCGACTTGGAAAAGGGACAGGGCAGACTTCTCCCTTGTCCCTTCAGAAAATACCACCCCACTTTGGGCAACAGGATCGTAGATAATATCCTAGAGGAGTTCAGTTACCAACTGCCTATTTTCAGAAACTCGCAGATGAGGAAAAAGACAGAGCCAAAAGAGAAAAACAAAACAAAACATTCACTCATCACAACTACAGGAAAATTAAAGCTGTTAAAAGATTTATGGAAAACATGCAGTACTTCCTGAAGACAACTGCAGCAGTCAAATAGCTGCTGAAGAAGGAAACCAGCCAGGAAACATTCACTTTTCAGAAAGGAAGCAAAAATTCATCTCAAAAGGAAAACTCATTATTAACTTTGATCTGAAGTAAGTATTTAATGTAAGGACTCACTGAAAAAATATTTGTGTCCCAAACTTGAACTGTAATTTTCCTAGACTGAATCCAAGCTTTGCCACAAGTTCTTGCTTTGGCATTTGGATAGGAAATGGAACATAAGATACTGTAAGTAATTCCAGCATCCTCTCAGGGAACCTGTTTTGAAAGAAGAGCTACTAACAATACTTGCTGAACTTGTACTGAAAACTGACTTTACTCTGGAAACAAAACAAGCCCTTGTAGCATCAGAGGTTCAGTCAGCCCCCTTAAGGCTTCAATGCAAATCAAATGACAAGAAAAATGTGGTATGTGAAAAGGAACAATGACAAACTCCTTCCATGCTTAGAAAGCTTGACATGAGGAGACAAATGGCCCCACAATAGCCTACATTCTTCAAAGCTTTCAGATGGAAGTGATTTATTACAGAAAATATGATAATTCCAGTTAATCATTCTGACTTTTCTTCAAAATGCCCTAGCATTGTAGGACAGCTCAACCAAGAATCCCTTAAATAAAACATTCGTTTGAGCAGCTCCAAAATAAGAAGAAATGAAGTAACATGACTCAATGGAAGTCTCAGTAAAAAAAAAAACAAAACCAAAAAAAACCCACAAAACCACAAGCAGAAAAAAACATACAAACAAAAAACCAAGCAACTGGAAACCCAATCAGTATTAATCAAAGGAAAATTTGATCACTCCCTTTAAATTAACTAAGAAAAAAAATCACTGCAACAAATTAGCCTCATACAAATATGAATTTTATTTACAATTTTCCAAATTATCAATCAAATCCAACTTCTCAGTTAAATGTGTAGCATTTCTCCTTTAAAACAAATTAAACATTGTGTTCTTTTTACATCTGCAATATGGAGTCCATAGGTACATGCTATTTGGGGCATCTAGAGTAACAAATTTAAGTCACTTCATGTGTGTGTATAACACCGAAGGTATTCTGTGAAGACTCTTTCTTCAAAATGTATCTGCTTCGGGGACAAACATTTCCATAACCACTTTCGAATGCCAATTAGTTAGGAAGGTTTAAAAACCCAGTATTTTATACCAGGACATACTGTTCACATATATTTCAGGGTGTGTTACCATGTTCATATTGCAAAGTTGCCTGCTCTATAAGCAATGCCACTGAAATCAGACTAAAGATTATCCACGGATCTAGATATTATTCAATGTGAATAAAAATGGCCATTGATGACTTTTACTCGGGTATGTGTAATTATGGGCCAGTCTGTACCTGATCTGGTACCAGTGCGACGTGATCTGTTCTGAAACTTGAAACCGCATGGGTCGTTATAATAAAATCTTTTACAACTGTATTGCACGTAAGTTCCTCAAAAGCACAAATCTACATAACAGTGTCCTGAACTCAGAATTTACCTGCTAACCCTCATGAATAGAATCAACCAGATGGTAAAATTGTTTATTTTTCTCATCCCAGTGTCTGTGAAAGAAGAGAAGAGGGAGAAGATATATACACTTCGGAATCCATTCAGTTATTTGTTTCTTCTGCATGTGATTTGTACTTCAGAGATGAGGATTTTTAAAAAATAAAATTAAAAGCCAGACAGACCTTGGATTTATCTTTAAAAGTACCTCAAAAACATAACGAAAATTCAATTTAATTTTGATACATATTAAAACATTTTAGTCGGTTCTGTCCGACAGCATAACACGACAGAAATGCACAAGACTTTAAACATGCTTTAAAATGACATTCAACAAAGTATTTAAAATTTAATAAATAGCATACAATCACACACAAATACATTTCATACTGGATCTTTAAGCCTACTAAAAACAGACTGGCAAAGAATAAATAAAACAGTAGTTGACATTTTTGTTTTTAAAAGGTGTAGATTCTTGTTGTCACGCTAGTAGCCACATATTAACCTGCTTATCACAAAATTGGAAGTTATGAGCTTTTTCCCCACTGATCTTTTTTGCTCCAACATGTAATATCATAAAAAAAAAACAACACTGAAAGGGAATTTTTTTTTTTTAAACAACCAGTCTGCAACCAAGTAAACCAGGTTTTAAATACAACGAATAAATAGGGAATTAGTAAAGCAAATTCAATTGCAACAAAAATGCAACACCCCAAGAAAAGAGCCATGGAAATATATAGCCATTGCAATATTAGACAATAATAGTACTTAAAGTGATAGTGCTTGTGCACTAAGCTCATTAGAGACCTTAATATGATTTTAGTGCAAATCCCTTGAGTCCAAACAAGCTTCATACCCTACAGTATTAGGGATTATTACCAGTTGGAACTTCTTCTGTAGTGTATTTGTACATATCGGATATTTAAAGAACTAACATGTATTGTAGTATCTTCGGCCCTTTTTTACTTCAAATGGAAAAGACTAATGACTGGGGATTTTACATACTATTTGGCTGTACCATATTTGATTGCGGTTTAGGAAAGTTATAAAAGCTTTTGCCATCAGTTTATCTATTATATCTAAATTTCACAAATCATTGCATTTTGTACTTCCGAGAGAAAAAGAATGCTCCTGGAGAAAGTTTCTCCTCCCTTTAAATAAGTTCACATTATGATGAAATTCAAGAATATTTAGACAAAGTGTTGTATAAACTCAAAGAAAAGTACATATTTTACATTAGCAATCCTTACCAGCATTTAGTATATTAAGTTACAAGTATGTTGGCAATAATACAACAGAGTCAATTCCTAAAGGAAAATAATTCTGTACAAATTCACCTGTTAATATGGGGTTAAACAGGCAGCCAAGTCAGTCTTGAGCAGCCGTGTTTCTGGTTTAAGCTACAGTACCAGGATAAACTAAATGTGAAACTAACGGGGATAACTTCAGTTTAACGAGTAATCAGATTACGCTGGATACACACATCGTGTATCCAGAGCCATTAAAGCGTTCACTCTCATAGTTCCATAATGTCATCCAGTATAAGAAATGTTTAATCAACCACACAGGCTAAAACAGCTTTAACAGAATGTTGTCCTGGATTTTTTAAAACTAAAAACTAGTTTTAATTGTGAAGTACAAAACAATGACAGATATTGCTCCAACTTGTACACAATCTTTCCTAAACAATCCGTACCTAGCAGAGTAGTAACGCCTCATCGTCACTAGTTTCATTTTTCACTGTTGCTTCTAAGCAAGTGTCGGGTATCTGGGCAGTGTGTACGATGCCACAGCTCTCACAGGGGCCATCTCGACTGCATGACCTTACACCGTGATGTGTTGCACTGTAAGGCTGTCTAAGCCCTGGTCCTTGATCTGAGCTGAGATCAAGTAGAGGTCTTGAACAGTCATTCATGTCAAAGTCTGAGGCTACATCAGAGACTGGAATTAACATTTCAACATCATCATCCTCTTCTCTTCCACTTACCCCGTTATCAAGCTGTCTCAAAGGACTTTGGTTCTGATTCACTGCGCTCGATCTCCCTAAGGTAAAGCGTACCCAGCGTAAGCCTTGAGTCATACGACTTAGCGCGCTAGTGAGCTGGTGACGTGCGGGACTCGTGCTTGGGGGCTCTACACTTGTCACTTCTCTTCCGCTATCCGTGTTACAGCTACTGCCGCTCTGAGCTGAGGAACTCCCACATGCTCCTACTGTTGCTTCTATTGCTGTTGCAGGAGGGACCTTCTGAGGCAAGGTGGCTGCAACACCACCGACTGCTCCTGCTGTGTCTCTTCTTTCATTTTCTGTGTCTGTATCATCAGATTCAACTGAAAACAGACTTCTGTGTGTACTATTTCTTTCAGTTTCTCTGCTAGTACTTTGGCTGGCAACATCATCTCCATCCGCTGAGACCAATGCCAATGATCCAGAATGACGTGACCTTGCAAAATTAAAAATTCTATTCCAAATGTTACTTGATCTGCCAGCAATAGGAAGTCTGATTGAGGTAAATCCAAGCTGAGATCGTACTGCCAGTCTCAGGTTTTCCAGAACTGAAGCCTAAATGAGAAGACAAGCAACAGTCAAGCGTTGACGGTATGTTGGCATTGTTCTAACAGAACAACAACAATGATTGTGCAAAACAGCATATTATCACAAAGTTCAATGTAGAGTCTTAAATAATAAAACATGTCGCATCTTCAATATTAAGGATCTGACGTACGTAGCAATAAGCTATTTTAAAAACAAAGCAGGCATGAAAATATCTAGATTCTCTTGAGGAAAAAACATTATGAACAGAGAAATTAAGCGGAAATATATATGGAAGAAAAGGGAGAATAAAAGAATCAAGGACCTCTATATAAAGGCAAAGTGAAAACCAACACACTATAACCTGGATACGGAACACTGATTACATAAAAGTACATCCACAGGCCCAGTGCAGACCTAGTACAGAAGGTATAGAAGATCTGTTAACGTACAATCTTACCAAGAAAATAAAGTAGTCACTGTGGATTTTAAAACACAGTACATAGAAACATGCCTCAAAATTTTAGGATTTAAAAACGAAATCTTCCAGAAAGATTTAATAGAGGTGACCTCTCTTTATCCACTACATGGGGCTGCCTAGAATAGAGACTAAATTAATTATCCTCTCTAGCAGAGGCTTGTTTGATTTTTTTTTTTCCCCCCATTCTGGCATAGCCATAGCAAGTTAAATCCAGTTTCAAAATCATAGAATGGTTAGGGTTGGAAGGGACCTTAAAGATCATCTAGTTCCAACCCCCGTGCCACAGGCAGGACACCTTCCACTACATCAGGTTACTGAAAAGCCGCATCCAACATGATCTTGAACACCGCCAGGGACAGGACATCCACAACTTCTCTGGGCAACCTAGTCCAGTCTTTCACCACTCTTGCAGTGAAGAATTTCTTCCTTAGATCTAATCTAAATCTATCATTTTTCAGTTTAAATCCATTGCCCCTTGTCCTATCACTACAGGCCTTTTTACAAAGTCCCTCTCCAGCTTTCTTGTAGGCCCCCTTTAGGTACTGGAAGGCTGCTAGAAGGTCTACCCAGAGCCTTCTCTACTGCAGGCTGAACAAGCCCAACTCTCTCAGCCTGTCTTCAGAGGAGAGGTACTCCAGCCCTTGGATCATCTTTGTGGCCATCCTCTGGACTTGCTCCAGCAGCTCCATGTCCTTCTTGTGTTGGGGACTCCAGAGCTGAACACAGAACTCCAGGTGGGGTCTACTACAAGAGCAGAGTAGAGGGGTAGAATCACCTCCCTTGACCTGCTGGCCACACTGCTTTGGATGCAGCCCAGGACGCGGTTGGCTTTCTGGGCTGCAAACACACATTGCCGGCTCATGTTGAGCTTCTCATCAACCAGCACCCGCAAGTCCTCCTCCTCAGGGCTGCTCTCAATCCATTCTCTGCTCAGCCTGTACTTGTGCTTAGGATCGCCCCAATCCACGTGCAGGACCTTGCACTTGGCATTGTTGAACTTCATGAGGTTTGCATGGACCAACCTCTCCAGCCTGTCAAGGTCCCTCTCAATGGCATTCCTTCCCTCCGGTGTGTTGACCACACCACACTTGATGTCATGTGCAAACCTGCTGAGGGTGCACTTGATCCCACTGTCCATTTCATAGACAAAGATGTTAAACAGCACCAGCCTCAATACTGACCCCTGAGGAACACCACTCATCACTGGCCTCCACTTCAACATCAAGCCATTGACCGCAACTCTTTGAGTGTGACCATGTAGTCAATTCCTTATTCACCATGTGGTCCATCCATCAAAGCCATCTCCCTCTGATTTAGAGACAAGAATGTCGTGCTGGAAA